CAATATCTAGTGCAGATGTGCATGGTAGCCAATCAGCTTCTAACTTCAGCTTATTAAATTAAGCGTTGACAAAAAACCTAGAAGATGATTGGTTTCTATGCAGAGCTGCAGCAAATGTTGTACTCTCCAGTTTTAGAAAATCAACCCCTGTAAGCTTTCCATTGATTTGCTAGATTGTGATCTTCTATTTTTTAAACTTTTTAGAAATTTTTCTTCCTCATCCCAAATGTTTATTTTACACTGTGTACTCTTCACATATTTTAATGGAAACAAAACTAACAAAACTTTTCATGGCAGCCTTGTGACAGTCTCATGCACCGATTCCCTCAAGGTGCGTACATAATTACACATACAGATAAGGTGTGCTAGTCATACTAATATCACATTGTGGCCACATCTATTTTATTTCTGGCCCGCATCAAATTTATAGTACACCTTCAGGCAGTCAGAATACATGAAAAGAAGGTCTGTGGTATATCCTGTTTTCCAGACATTATAAATAAGAATTATATTCTTTCAGGTGCTGGAAGTCCAACAACACAGCACAGATCCATTAGACCATTAGACTTGTGCTTTGGAGATGAAAGGGATGGGTTGATGGTGGCCAAACTTAACCCAAGAGTGTGATGTGCAAAGTGTCAATGACATAACAACAACTCATAAGTCTCTCAGTTGACACACAGAAGAAAAAATAATTAGACGTGGAAGAAAAAAAAAAAAAAGAAGTTATAAGAGTTTGACTGGGCAGCATAAGAGGTATTCACCTTGGAAGCTGGATCAAAGGTCCTCTGCGTTGTTACAATATCCGTACAGATCTGTTTGCTTTCTCTCAGCCGATGAAGCTCCTTTTCCAGATGTTTGCACTGGGGAGGAGGGATAATAGAATATCATGAAATGAATCATTTCAACCGCTTCTAAATTCATCTTTCAAGAAGAAATGTTCTACTGGCTTATTGGCAATGAGTGAAAAGGTGCTTTTTTAACCAGGCTGGCGAAAGGAATTTACAATATTATGTGTTATGAAGCCTGATAGGAAAAAGAGACAGGAGCTTTGGATGGACAGAAAATTTATATGGAAAGTGTTTATACATGTCACCTGAAAGATAGTGGGGTTAAAGTGGTATTAAACCCAGAAACTAAAATGTAATATATTGCAGTTTACCAATCCTTCGATATGATGGCTACACCAGTTTTTTCCTTTTCTAGGCGTTTTCCCTGTATTTACCTCTGGTGATGCTTCCAGTATCACAATTCCTGTCTTAGGGTATCCGCATTCTGGATGAAGTAGTAAAGCAGATACATTTGGACCACAGCATTGTCAGCCTGGGGGGAGGGTACTGTTAGGCGGCCATAAACGGTTCAAATTTTGCCCGGTTCAGCAGGAATGGGCAGACTGAATGTACCAAGTTGATCGATTGATCAACTTTGGTACAACCAGCCTGCTGGATTTTACATGCTAGTATAGCCAATAGCTGTCCACACCAGAGAATACAATGGCTCGGCAGGAGGGATTCCCCTGTCAACACTGACCCATTGTTTCAGGAAAGAAATTCACTCTGTGTATGGGCTGGTTTAGACTAGAAGATTTAGGTGGACCTGACAAATAAATTGAATCTGAACTGCAGCTAATACATTATACACAGTTACAGCAAACAGTTTTTTCCATTAAAAATAAAGTTTTTTTTTTTTTTATAAATGAATAAAAGCTGACCATTGTAAGCAAACCCAGTCAAGGTTGACAGGTTTGTCTCAATTCTCTAACTCCTACTTTGTCTGGACAGTTTGGTCTTTTAAAGTAAGTTGAAAAATAACAGACTTATTGGCAGGATCATCAAGTGAAAATAAATGAAAAAAGGCTAACAAATGAATGCAGCCACCACATCTAAGAATTGGTGAGCTGCAAATGAATACATTTTTTTTGGTTTAATATCGCTTTAAATCCCAAAATGATGGTAGTATTCTCCATATAGTTGATTAATGGTACAGGCATGATGCAAACAGACAAACAGAAAGATCTGTATTTGTTTTACTACTTTGGTATTCAGAGCTGGGAACAACTCTATCCTAAAATAAGGATTATACCCCCTTATTTTTTTATTTGCAAGGCAACTGAGACATGTAAATATGTTCTGTTTTAAGAAGCCTATGCTGTGCTTCACACTGGTTTATTGAAGAGATTTTTGGTTCCTTTTAGCCCAATTTACCAAAACCTGCCAGGTTGTATTTTTTAATATTCAGTAAATATGTATATACACCCTATATATATCCATACATGTATAGAGTGATTACAAACATACAGCTCGCTGATTACAAACATACATATATACAGTATATATATTTATACAGGACAAGTGTTTAGCCATAAGCATCAATACTTTCCAGGACAACCCAGCATTTGGCAGTGACACGATGGCATGGAAGCTGCTTCAGGCATAGTATGTGCCTGAACTTCATGCCAGCAGCAGTTTGCTCCCCTTCCCCTCAATGACGGAGTCTCTTTAATGCAAACTGGTAGTGAGTTTGACAGTAGAGCAGCAGCTAGACTTTATGACAACAGTCATTCTAAGCTAGGACTATAGCTACAGTTAAATCAAATGAATGGTCTAGTGTAGCAGCACTCTATAGCTTGCAGACGTCTCAACAGCGTCACTGGAAATGTCAGCTTCTTTGGGAGGAAAAGGATGAGAGGGCCAAGCCATAGGGACCATTCCAGGTATTTGTTTTCATAAAAAAAAGGGTCCCATAAAGAGTTGACAGCCCACACCTGGGGTTAATTCTTTGTGTAGCTGGGCAGCTGATCCTCACCCCCCCCCCCCCCCCGGCTCATTTGCCTTTCCTCTCTGCCAGTTTACTGTGTGAACAGATGGCTGTACTGTGACAAGGGAGAGGTGCTGTGTGGTCACTCTCTTCCCCCTCTCTCCTAGCAAAAGCAATGGACCAATCAGTAGTGAGGAGAAAACCAGAGGTTTCGGGGAAAAAGGATTCTCCTCAGTGTGACAGGAGAGTGATGTGACAGGAGTGTGACAGGATCGTGTCAAGGAAACTCCACCTAGGAGAGAAAGACCCTGGTCAGTGGAGACCACAATTGTGTGAGAGACAGCCAGAAAGTACAGAGTGTGCCCCAAGAACCTAGGGATGAAGCTACCTACCATCATCACAGGCAACCCAAAGTGAGTGGATACCTGATCTGAGAGATCACTGCTGCTGTGTCACTGCGTCTGATGAGAGAGCTTTGTGGCTGCTACTTGTTACCACCGTTAGTGACTGAGCCATTAGGAACTACCTTCCAGGTACTCCATAGAGCTAACAGTGCCTGCAGGTCTTATTGACTGCTTTAATGCATGCCAACGGGCCCCAAACATTTGGCTGGCTAGAGTCAGGACTAAAACACTGCACCTGACAGTTGCTGCTCCAAGGTCTTGTTTTTTTTTTGGTAAAGGGTAACTCTTAAAAGAGAAGTATGGGTTTCCTTTTTTTTGCTTAGTGTTAATATTTATGAGCTGCTAGTGCCTACAAATCGTTCCTGCTCTCTCACAAGTGCACTCTGTTAAAATGGAGTTATAAAAGCTGTGGGAGGGGCTACTGTCAGGAATGGACTGGCCAGCAATAGTGGGACTCACCTGCCTTATGAGCTGCAGTACCAGGGCTGGCCAGCGGGTGCTCCCAGCAATCAGAGACTCAACCTTGCAGCCAGTCAAACACCTGGAACTAATTATACTGGTGTATTTAAGGGATGGCCAGACCTGCAGACTCTGCCTTGGTGTGTGTTTTTCTGGGCCCTGTATCTTGTAAACCTGCGTTCCTGTTCTTGTTCCTGTCTTGTTGCTGACCCTGCTTATTTCTGACCTCTGCTGACTTCTCCTGTTCTGATCCCTGGCTTGTGACCCTGACCATCCCTCTGCCTGACCCTCTGTACCACGCTGCCCGCTACCTGCTGAACCTGGCCTGTGACCCCGACCATTCTCCGCTTGCTCCCCCTGTACCTACCTGCCAGATTGATATTGACCCGGCCTGCCTGACGACGCTTGCATTGTATGTACTGTCATCTGTGGGTGGTGGTTTGGTTTGTTTGCACTGTGTTATGTTTTAGTATTGCACTGCGTTTATGTTTGTATTGTTAGGGTTAATAAATTATATTGTTTATAACATATCTGAAGTCTGCGTTTCCCTGCGTCAGTCACATACCTCTGGTCACACCCGGGAGCCCTGACATTACACCAAGGCCAATCCTGACCAGAAGTGGCTCCACAGGGAAGCCATCTTGGTTTGTTGATGGGAAGGATGGATCTTGATGAGGTTGTGTATTTATATCTGCTAGTGTTTGATGACAGAGAGTATGCTTATCAAACTCTGAAGGAGTATCCCCGGGATGAACTGCTAGAATGTATACGGCTCGCTCATGTTCTAGTAGATCAGGGCACAGAATTCTCTGAGGTGCAGCCATTGATTCAGGCTTGTGCGGAGTTGGTTTCATCTGGTACCCCGAATGCAGGGATGAATTTTTGCCGCCATTTAGTGCTGACCAGGTAGAGTCCCTGGTATGGTTATTAGAGGATGATGTGGATTGCGTCTTGGAGCATTATGCTGCATGTTCACCACAGATACTAAGAGATGTGTATAAACGCAGTGCAGTCTTTGACCAGACAGGCTTTGTGTAAGCTCAGCTTTGTTCAACCCATACTATAGACATGGACAGATTTGTTGCACCCAGCCTCAGTCAGCCTACAAAAACCCAGTCCTGCTTCTAATCTATTTCCTCAAAGCTCTATTCCTGCATTCCCAACAGCTCCTCCTGCCCTGCTATCTACCGCATGTCAGTACCCTGTTCCCACTCGCTGCACCTATCCTGCCTTTAACCCTGTAAAAAAGCCCTCTGTAGCAACTGCTCCCTCCTCTGTTCCATCCTCCAGCTCTTCTCTGTCTCCAGCTGCTCCATTCGTTTGCAGACCTGCGTTTACTTGCAGTGCTCCAGTAGTTAAAACCAGAAAAAAGTGAAAATTCTTTCCAACCAGTACCATCCTGCCAGTATCCAAACCGGTGAGCCTGCCGTCTGAGAACCTGCCTTCTGTGGTTCAGCCTGATGCCTCTCTTCAGCCTGAAGCCTCTACTCAGCCTGAAGCCTCTACTCAGCCTGAAGCCTCTACTCAGCCTGAAGCCTCTACTCAGCCTGATGCCTCTACTCAGCCTGATGCCTCTACTCAGCCGGATGCCTCTACCCAGCATAATGAACTGATCCAGCCTGATGATCCTATTAGGCCAGTTGACTCGATGCCCGCTGTTGATCCAGATGATCCGGTACCTGATCCGGTACACGCAGTCTTGCCAGACGACTCGGTGCCCGCAGTCTTGCCAGACGACTCGATGCCCGCTGTTCCGCCAGGTGACTCGGTGCCCGCAGTCTTGTCAGACGCCTCGGTGCCCGCAGTCTTGCCAGACGACTCGGTGCCCGCAGTCTTGCCAGACGACTCGGTGCCCGCAGTCTTGCCTTGCCAGACGACTCGGTGGACCCGCAGTCTTGCCAGACGACTCGGTGCCCACTGTTCCGCCAGTTGACTCGATGCCCGCTGTTCCGCCAGACGACTCGGTGCCCGCAGTCTTGCCAGACGACTCGGTGCCCGCAGTCTTGCCAGACGACTCGGTGCCCGCAGTCTTGCCAGTTGACTCGGAGCCCACTGTCGTGCCTGGTGACTCGGTGCCCGCCGCTCCGCCTGGGGGCCGAGACCTGTCGCTCCGCCTGGGGGTCCGGCGCCCGCCGCTCCGCCTGGGGGCCTGAGACCTGTCGCTCCGCCTGGGGGCCTGAGACCTGTCGCTCCGCCTGGGGGTCCGGCGCCCGCCGCTCCGCCTGGGGGCCCGAGACCTGTCGCTCCGCCTGGGGGTCCGGTGCCCGCCGCTCCGCCTGGGGGTCCGAGACCTGTCGCTCCGCCTGGGGGCCCGAGGCCTGTCGCCCCTCCTGGGGGCCCGATGCCTGTCGCCCCTCCTGGGGGCCCGATGCCTGTCGCCCCGCCTGGGGGACCGATGCCTGTCGCCCCGCCTGGGTGCCCGGCGCCCGCCGCTCCGCTCCGGGGGCCCGATGCCTGTCGCCCGCCCCGCCAGGGGGCCCGATGCCTGTCGCCCCGCCTGGGGGCCCGGTGCCTGCTGCTCCGCCTGGTGGCCCGCTGCCTGCTGCTCCGCCTGGTGGCCCGGTGCCTGCTGCGCCGCCCGGTGGTCCGGTGCCTGCTGCTTCGCCCGGTGGCCCGGTGCCTGCTGCTCCGCCCGGTGCCTGCTGCTCCGCCCGGTGGCCCGCTGCCTGCTGCTCCGCCCGGTGGCCCGCTGCCTGCTGCTCCGCCCGGTGGCCCGGTGCCTGCTGCTCCCGCCCGGTGGCCCGGTGCCTGCTGCTGCTCCGCCCGGTGGCCCGGTGCCTGCTGCTCCGCCTGGTGGCCCGGTGCCTGCTGCTTCGCCTGGTAATCCGATGTGCCTCTGCCCGGAGTCCAGCCCGATGTGCCTCTGCCCGGAGTCCAGCCCGATGTGCCTCTGCCCGGAGTCCAGCCCGATGTGCCTCTGCCCGGAGTCCAGCCCGATGTGCCTCTGCCCGGAGTCCATCTTGATGTGCCTCTGCCCGGAGTCCAGCCCGATGTGCCTCTGCCCGGAGTCCAGCCCGATGTGCCTCTGCCCGGAGACCAGCCCAATGTGCCTCTGCCCGGTGTGCCCCTGCCCAGAGTCCTGCCCAGTGTGCCGCTGCCCGGAGTCCTGCCCGGTGTGCCAGTCTTTGATATCCCGCCAGTTACCAGACCCAGGCGGTGGAACATTTTGCCCAGCTAGGACTATTTGGAGCGTCCTGAGGCCGCTCCTTGAGGGGGGGTACTGTCAGGAATGGACTGGCCAGCAATAGTGGGACTCACCTGCCTTATGAGCTGCAGTACCAGGGCTGGCCAGCGGGTGCTCCCAGCAATCAGAGACTCAACCTTGCAGCCAGTCAAACACCTGGAACTAATTATACTGGTGTATTTAAGGGATGGCCAGACCTGCAGACTCTGCCTTGGTGTGTGTTTTTTTCTGGGCCCTGTATCTTGTAAACCTGCGTTCCTGTTCCTGTCTTGTTGCTGACCCTGCTTGATTCTGACCTCTGCTGACTTCTCCTGTTCTGATCCCTGGCTTGTGACCCTGACCATCCTCTGCCTGACCCTCTGTACCACGCTGCCCGCTACCTGCTGAACCTGGCCTGTGACCCCGACCATTCTCCGCTTGCTCCCCCTGTACCTACCTGCCCGATTGATATTGACCCGGCCTGCCTGACGACGCTTGCATTGTATGTACTGTTATCAGTGGGTGGTTTGGTTCGTCTGCACTGTGTTATGTTTTAGTATTGCACTGCGTTTATGTTTGTATTGTTAGTGTTAATAAATTATATTGTTTATAACATATCTGAAGTCTGCGTTTCCCTGCGTCAGTCACATACCTCTGGTCACACCCGGGAGCCCTGACAGCTACAGTCTTTTCTGGAGTGTCATGCAGACATTCTGGTTGGGATCCCCCCCCCCCTCCATCTCCTCTGTTGAATTCATGTCAGCTGGAAACTCTCTGCTCACTCGGGAGACTTCTTACAACACTGACAGCTCTTTTCACCCCTCCCCCATATAAAATACTGTGTTCATCCAGGGGATCGTGAGCATGAGAAGTTCAGGGACACTCACACAGCCCCCCCTGCTCAGCATCCTGATAACCAAATCTCCCTCTCCCAGCTGGCAATGGCTGGAGAAGAGGCCGACACAGGATTTCAATGCCGCTGGGTGATAGGAAGGAGAGGGGAGATTAGAGCTCACAGAGGATCAGAGGAGAGAGAACACAGGCTGCAGCTGAATGTGCAGCTGACAACAAAGGACAGGAGAGCTGCTGGAAATGAGGAGAGTGCATATGATGGCTCCGCTTCCTGGCGTTACGTGAGTACATGTTGCCATGGAAATGGAGGCACTTAAAAAGTGTGCACACTCTAGCTTGCTGCTGAGGTGTGTGCCCATTCACCAAGCATGGCCACATATCCAAGGGAAGGAGGGACTGAAAGAGGGGGCGGATTGCATGAGTTGTATCCATCCCCTCCAAAACTTTCAAACACTTCCTGACCCTTCAAGAGCCCATATTGCACAAACTAATGGACTGAGGAAGGAAAGAAAAGGCATTAGGGTAATATGAACTATTTAGTACAGAGTACACTCTAACCAAGTGTAGGGTTATCATAATTTATACTGCATTTAATGTTTACTAATATTGTTTATTGCTGAATTACTAACTTACCCTCCTGATTCTAGTTAGGAGTTAAAATATAATTTTTGCCAATTTACCATAGCTATTACTCTGTCTAGCAGACTGTGCTATAATCAGCTGTGTGCTCATTTATGTTCTATTTGCCATTTATTTGAACCTGTATTAATAGATTAAGAGCATTTACTATTAAATGGTTGTGTGTCTATTTACTGGTAGTAACCCACAGCCAGGTTAAAGGTATTTTACACTTGAGTATTTATCTGTGCTTGCAGTGATTTTTAGTCAACCAGGTGTATCAGGGGAACCACAGTTGTTTTTGGAGTTGAGGCACAGAACAGAGAACCCAAAGCTACCTAGCTGCTCCTTTAAGGGTGGAGCTACATTCGTAAGTCAGCTCAGTAAAAGCATATGCAAACCCTAACAATAAGCTTTACGTATTTGTTCCTTTTTTTTTTTTATACCATTAATATCATATTTATATTTGTTTTAAAAGTGCAAAAAGAAAATGGATTTTGTCAGAAATTCAGTGCTGTCTTCAGCACACTTCCTGCGCTCCAAGCAAAGGCATGACAACTGATGCCTTTGTTTGGAGATAAAGACAGTGGGATGGATTGCATAGATTACTAAACAAAAACTGGGCAGGGCTGACATCCTTCAGTCCACAAAATTTTAGTGTATTGTCAGCCCACAAAAGAAAATTAAAAGCCAAGTACATTTCTATCGGATTAAAAGATATTTTCTGTAATTGCAGGGTCTTTACAGGAGACAAGGGAATGGGCATGCATGACAAAGTTGTACTACATGTGTGTGTCTTTTTGTTTTTTACATACACTTTAAGTTGCTGTCAGACAAGCTTCTAACTAAAGTTTATTATGAATTAAAATCCAGGATTAACCATACCCATACAGATGCCTTTTGCACAAAAAACTAAACTCTGATGAACAGGGATTTGTGCATAGCTCCGCAATGTGTTGGCGGTCAACTTTTTCTAGACCCTTTTATTATAACAAGTTAGTTGGGTAACACTTGTACACTAAACATATATAACTGGAAATTGCAAGAAGCACATTTTATAGATCTAATAGAAATGTTTTGTTTCAAATCAAATTCATTGCCATTTGCCATTACAAATTAAACGATGCTGTATATCATGATATACTCTGATATAGAGGATATACTGAACTATCTTCAAAAGCAGGTTATACGACTTGCCATGTTTATTTGTAAGTAAATTATCCAGTATATTCTTAATTTTTAAGACGTGCAAATCCACTGAACATTTTGTGACCAACATTCCTGATATTTATATCCCAATGATGTGGACAAATGTTTTACTTGAGGATTGTCAGTATGTGTAAAGAGAAAACAGGTGGCGCACACACCTAGTGCATTATCCAAGGTTTATTGTAAGGAGTGAAAAATAATAATAAAAACACTCACAGACGAAGCATGTATCTAAAAAGCATAGAAAAATGACAATGGCCACAGCGGCTGGCAAGGTGTTCTCACTGTCAGTGCGGTCAAATATCTGACGCGTTTCAGGGACGAATCCCTTTCCTCAGAGCTAATGACCAGCCTCTGATGCAGATGTGTGATGAATGGAAAGTGGGAGCCTTGCTGGTGATGCCTTGTTGTCAGTATGTGTACCCCAACAAAAGAGATGGGACTGCAGCAAATATAGAGCAGTCAAATCATGGTAATTTTCACCAGTTAGCCATTGTTTCACCTTGATCACAATGGCCAAATTAGAAAGTTTAATAACATCACTAGCATGACTTGATGGAAGAATGATCAAACGTGATGATTGCCATACCCTGGTTTTGATAGACATTGACCATCCATGATCTTTGCTTTCCATCACGTTGGCATTATGACAGACACTATTAAATTTTCACATGCAACTTTCCAACTGCGTCCAATTTTTAATGAGACACAGCAAGGTTGCTGCTCTACTGTGTTCCCATTGGAGAGATTTTTCCCTTACTTTCTGTACTAAAAACCAAAATAGCTGGGACAGAACATTACTCCAAGGGAGATACAAAAAGATATACAAAACTGGAAAAGGTTTTAACATGTCTCCATTGTTAAAAATACCAATAAAATACAATAATTTATTGAAAATGTATTAAAAGAAAAAGACATACAATAAGCATGGGTGTGGTCAAAAAACACGTAGTCAAATGCAGATAGCGAATTGTAGTCAAGGCCTGACGCGTTTTGAGATCAGACAATGCTCTTAGAGGACGCAGTGTCTTACTCATCCCTGAAGAAGAGCATTGTCTAATCTTGAAATGCATGGGATGCTTGACTACAATTCGCTATCTGCATTTGAATGCGTGTTTTTTGACCACACCCATGGTTATTGTATTGTCTTCTTTCAATACATTTTCAATAAATTATTGTATTTTATTGGTATTTTGTATTTTCTGACTTGTGAAGGGACGCTGCCTCAAAAGTACAATTTCTAGGGCAATTTTCTCTTTTTCATGGTAAATGAAGGATTGTTGGCAGCTT